AGAGAGAGAGAGCGGGAGAGAGTGAGAGATAGCGAGATAGCGAGAGAGAGAGAGAGAGAGAGAGAGAGCGGGAGAGATAGCGAGATAGCGAGAGAGAAGGAGAGAGAGAGGGAGGGGGAGAGGCACTGCATGAGTGGATAATGCACAGTATGTACTCAGCCGTGAGATTAGATATAGCTTGGAGCTCTGCCGTTCGCACCACCTGTAAATCCCAACTAGCATTACTAACACTCAGGTGTGCAGTAGCAGTAGCAGGCGCGCATGCATGCAGCATACCTGTAGGCTGTAGTACCAGTAGCTTTCCTGCCGACCGTACGGCGTACGTGCGTGCGTCTGCATGTTACAAGTGCGCGTGTGCGTGCGTGTGTTCGTGCAGTGTGAGTGCGTGCGCGTGTGTGCGTGCGCGCGCGTGTGTGCGTGTGTTCGTGAAGATTACGCGTGCGTGCGCGCGTGTGCGTGCGTGTGTTCGTGCAGATTACGCGTGCGTGCGTGTGGGTGGCAGGGAATCTACAACAGTTGACCCTTTCCTCGATGTGCATCATCATCGTACACAGATTATGAGCATGTCCGACTCCTGTTTCTTGTCCGTTCTTTACCGCTATCCGCTCAACTCTGCTTGCATTTGTGTGGGCTAATTCCGTAAGCAGGATGTGGGGAGGAAGGGTTTCAGGGGCAGTGACCAGTTCATATTGTTCCCCGTGTACACAGACATTCCAATTTGGGCTCGTGATTGTGGTGGACATTGGTCAAGGCTCAAGCAACGTATTGCTGACCGGCGGGGTGGGGGGGTGCATTCTCTCGCAAGGTCACTCTCGTTTTGGTAGTGGTTGTCTCTGTCCCTTTAGCTTTTATTAGGGATCCGTGTGTGAGAAAGAGCGTCACCCGTGAGTGTGTGCGCGAGATAGAGAGAGAGAGGGGGGAGAGCGAGAAAGAGGGAGGGAGAGAGAGAGAGAGAGAGGGCGGAGGGAGGGAGAGAGAGAGAGAGGGCGAAGGGAGGGAGAGAGGGAGAGAGGGCGGAGAGAGGGAGAGAGGTGACTGCATCCTGGTGTCTTAATGGCTCGAGTTTTGTCGTTGCAGTCATGTCGAGAAGCGAATAATAACAAGAGAGCGTTCGCGAGACCAGCAGAAGGACGGCAAGGTGCCGCGCCTTGATAAATGCAATAGTGTAAAGTGATAGATTTTCTGAGTGAGAGACTGACAGAGTGTCTGTCAGACTGAGTTAGTGACAGTACGACTCCGTCTCCGAGTATTCATACCACGTTACTAGCTCTAGTACTATACTCTATAGCCCTTGTTGCCACAGGCAGCCTGTGAGTACTAGAGCTACCACGGAACATGCAATCCACGGGTAGTGTATTAGGTCCTGCACAGAAATCAACCTACCTAATAATAAACAACGCTACTTGTTCAGTTGTTGACCTATGACAACTTAATCTCATGCATAGGTGGCAGCAAGGACTTTAACACGTTCCCCGCGAAACACGAGTCACTTCGTGTGAACAATCAAAACCCACCCACACGAAACACGAGTCGGCTCGTGGTAACATTGTCACAATTGGGAAGTTGACAGCTTCGTGTTAGGTGTGTTTATCTGCTGCCAGGAACTCTAGTTGCAGATATGATAAAATATTAAAACAGACATGAACAATACATATGCAATAGAGTTTACATGTGTAAAAAAAATGATACATGTAAACTCTATACCATGACGTACTAGCGTATAGATAGCTGAAATTCCGGTCTGAAACATGGGAGAATATACAACAATTTTAGCTCAGGGCTGGTAAAAAGTGGATTAACTCGGCATTTTCACGCAATAACTTCATACCTATGCACAAATTGCAGAAAGTTTTCTGCTATCATGCTGCCGGTTCTGGTTTTAGGGGATGTGATCTATGCTGTTGACAACAAGAAATGATGGCAGAAATCATTCTTTAATATGTGCATGGGTTTGACGTTATTACGTAAAAATTAACGAAGTTAAAACATTTTATTTGAAACATTAGCCCTTTCATATCTGCAGGATGTATGTAACACACTGCCCCTATCCACAACCTAGTTCCACCTGTGGATTAATAGTGTTTAATCATTTTATTATTTTATCTTGTCGACAGTGCGAGCCTGTTCTCCCAGAAGGCACCGTGGCGTTTGGGAATATTCTGGCTCTCGTTAATAAAGTTGCTGTTGAGTTAACTCATGTCTTTGTGCTTTGCTTCAGTCTCATCCGCTGAACAAAAAGAATTAACACTACGTCCTGTGTAGCCCTTTCACTCCCATCACAGCGGGAATTCGTTCCTGTAGCCGGAGTGAAGGCTCTACAAAGGTAGAGAGAGGTGTCTGCAACTTTTAATCAGTCGAGGTGTGTAGATACAGTGATAAAGTTCCACAACCTTCGTGTCACCTAGGTAAAATATATGTCAGTCTCCAATTGTGTCACCAATTGCTATCCAAGGATGAACAAAATTAATAATCATTTCTGTTTTGATAGAGAAAATGGCTGCAGCTTCAAATTATGCCAAGAGGATGGCCCGGCTCAGTGCCAGAATATTTGGTGAAGTCACTCGACCCACGAATTCTAAGTCCATGAAGGTAACAACTTAACAAGAAATAAAAGTTAATTTGTAAAGTTCTGTATTTTGAAAGATCATACAGAGATCTGTGAATGCTATAATTATGCAATTAACCAATCTCCACGTAAGTGTTTCTACGGTGGTAAAACTAGAACAGCTTCAAATTTTGAGTTTCACTGCACGATTCTCCCATTTCATTTACACAGATCATGTGTCTTGGTGCACTGTAAAGATAGTAACAGCATTTATAGAGCATGTTGTGTTTATTGGGTAGGAATTGGGAGCGGAGTTAGGGGTGTGGGTACGGGTTAGAGTTGTGTTCGTTTTTAGTTATCCCCCTCACTGAGTTCATATTCTGTCTTGTCATCTGTAGGTCATTAACCTAATCAGGTACGGTTAGGGTTAGAGCTTGAGGAGCATGGATAGAAAGAAAATCAGTCCTAACATTAACATTTTAAAAGTTGACCTTTGTACACTGCATGTGAGAAACTCGTAAATGTACCTTGTTTCAGGTAACATTCTGTGAGAAAAGGTTAATGTTAAGACTTGTGTTAAGATTAATTTTGTTTCTGACGATGGCCCCCTGACTTAGGAATTGCAGGGTTAGAGAGTTCTGTTCGATTTAAATTACTGTATAAGCTGTATATTTCGCGATGGTTTAATTTTCGCAAATTTCGCGAACGCGTCTCCGACCGCGGAAATAACAACACGCGAATAATTCATACCAAATAATACCGAATATGTCATAATTCACCGACCGCGAAATTAACCACTCGCAAAATTGTTACCATCAAGTCTGAATTCGCGAAACTATCTGTACGCGAAAAATATGGCGTGTGTACAGTATGCCCTTCACTGAGTTCTTACTCTGTGTTACCATCTGTAGGTCGTCACGCTCTTCAGTGAGAAACCGATGCAGAAACGCGAGGAAGTCGTTGACTACTATCCTAACCTACCTGTAATCGACAGGCTCATGCGTCAGCTGCGTCAGCTGGGACTCTACAGGTAAATCCTGAGCGCAAAACTGCAACTGCAATGTGGAGCCGAGGTCCCGAGTCTGCGTGGTGGGAGCTAATCGCCATGCAAATTACAAACTTAATCGCTTTTGGCTGTTTCTTCGTGGGTCGATCGTTTAGTTAACCTTGATCAACTTGGATAGCTTGGGTCTGTATGCATGCAGGTCATGCAGGCCCTCGTTCAGATGATGGAGCATTCCACTGTTCGCATTAAAAGCTATCAAAATAAATGCAATATTGAATTAAATAATTTAATGAAATAGTGCATCATTTTTTAATGCTTGTAATTTAAGGATGTTTGTAATTCAGGAACTCCTTACCTAGCTACATTTACACCGTTTTGAGCCAATGTAAACATTTATGCAGTGGGGAAATGTAGGTTACTATAGTATGTGAATTTCTAAAGCCCGGCGCACACACGGGTAATTTTACGTGTGCGGCGGATTTTCGTTGAGTAGTTTGACGCATGCATAATTTTACTTGAGTAAAATTACTCACGTGTGCGCCGGGCTTAATGTTTGCAATTAGTTTGCAAATAGTTCCGTGGCTCAGAACTAGACTGTTTTTGTGGAATTTATCTGGAGAGCAGGAATGTCACTTTACTTACTTGACTGTACTTACTGTCACTTACTTACGCACGAAGGGTCGTTGTCGTACCAAGTACTACATATTATATATGTACCCGAGGTAGTTTTAGGTTGTTTAGTATTATGTTTATATTTTTAAATGAGGTATGTTTAGGGTTAGAGTTAGGGTTAGGGTACACTTCTGTAGTACAAGTCTAGTACACTTTGTGTATACATATATGTACCTCGGGTACAGTGAAAAAAATACACGGGGGCTCGGGGCGATTTAGCTTCCGAAATGTCAAAAAGAGCCCCAGAAATGCCAAAAAGAACCCCCGTAAATTTGCATAGAGTTCGATGCAAACCAATTTTTAGAGTGCTATTTCCATGCACGCGAGCTTGAAAAGTAGCCCCCGAAAAATACATTTTAATTTTTCCCCTGCTCGGGTACATATATGTAGTACCTGATACGACAACGACCCCTTCAGCCTTACTTACATGTCTTAGTACGTCACTTACTTGTTTCCTACCACACTTCAGGGATGAACATCTGGATTTTAAGGAGGAAATGCACCGATTAAGGAAACTTCGAGGGAAAGGAGCGCCGAAGAAGGGTGAAGGAAAGAGTGCACGCAAGAAGTGATCCTATTTCCTCATGTGCAAGGACATTTCTGCCTGAGTCACATGTACAAATTGATCCAGAAGTCCGCTGTCTCATTCTCTGTGTAGTGTTCAGATATTTGCAATGATTAGCAGCCCATGCACCACAATGTTGCATAAGGTTTGTTAGAAGGTTGGAACTCATTAGAGCAAGAAGAAACATAACATCAACAGCAACAAATTGCAAGAAGAAACGACGAGACGTTGTGTCAACTGAAACTCCTCTATAATATGGGCAAATCATATACGATGTGAATGTCATCTCGTTTCGATACAGTTGTAAGCAGCAAAAAATTGTATATAGTGACTGTTATTGTAATTAATAAAATGAAAAAAATTATTCCTGTCATTTTGAATTTGTCATTTTTACTGACTGCATAATTGTGGAACCCTATTGTGTTTAGCTGTGTGAATGTGAAATAAGAGAGTGCAGAGACTAGTTTCCCACGCTCTTGCCATTACAACAAGCTGTTCATTTTAATGAAGTCGTCTCATGTAGTGTTTGCGTGAAAACCTTCCTGAAGTAAGTCTCGTAATGTATAGTGGAAATCTGTAAATTAGGATTGCTGTTATTATGCTCGAATCTTCATCGCTTATAATTTAAATGTCAGAGTACGTGTACTGAATTTAGTAGGAGACGTAGATCCGGCAACGAAGCCTCGCAAGGTGGCGCGGCCGCCCGCGCGCGGCGAGGCAGAGGCCGCGGCGGGAGAGGTCGAGGCAGGGGTCGCCACCGTCGACGCGAAGACTGGGATCGTTTGCTCGCCGGAGCAGCAGAGCGACCTGCCGACGGAGCGTACGATCACGCGCGAGCCGCGGCCCGCCGTCAAACCCGCGAAGCAGCGCCCCCTACGTTCAACGGAGGCCGGCGCGCGCGTGCGGGCGGTCGAGCCGGAGTCGCCTAGACCGGCGCCGCGGCCGAAGCCGAGGGAGCGGTCGGTGTCGCTGGAGGAGCGGAGTCAGACTAAGGACTGGGACGCGGCGTCGTCGTCGTCGTCGTCGTCGTCGTCGGCAACGAGTGCCAGCCTCCCGAATCTCACGCTCAGGTTGGTGGCGCTGTCGTCGCTTTGTCGTCGTCGTCGTCGCGAGGGCATGCATCTCTCGCTTGGATTGCTGTTGTCGTGGTTACTGGCTGCTGACTTTATTTCTCTCGCTCGCTCTCTCCGATTGCTGCAGTTAAATCGTCGTTGCTGTTGATTTTATTTCTTTCGCTCGCTCGCTTCGATTAGCACTGCAGTTATCGTTGTCTCAGTTGTTGATTTTGATTCTCTCACTCGCTTGAATTTTGGCTATTTGTTGCTGCTGACGTTATTATGCTTTGGCTCGCTCGCTTCAGCTAGATCGCTTGAATTACTAGTACTGCCACTGGTGTTGTTGTTGTTGTTGTTGTTGTTGTTGTTGTTGTCATCGTCGTTTTTGTTGTTGTTATTGTTGTTGGGGATGACTGCTCTGGATGTTCTCTTACAACCGCATGACATTTTCGGTAACCAACCGCAGCTTGTTTGTTTTTCTTCTGCTCGACTTTTTGATGACTGTTTTTTTTTTCTGTTCTTGAATGATGTTTTTTTTGGCTCTCGTGCGTACTATAGTAAAATGGCAAGAGAGCGGAGGGAGAAGATTGAGAACGAGTAAGCGAGAGGGAGAGAGAGAGTGCGAGAACAAAAAAGAGAGAGAAGGGGGAGGGAGAATGAGAAAGCGAGAGGGAGCGAGAGAGGCAGTGGATAGAACAAAAAGAGAGGAGAAGGGGGGAGGGAGAACGAA